AAAAAAAAAAAATACCAGGATGCTGTTGGAGCCCCTGTTATCCTGAAATTCCCGTTGCAAAACCTGCGGTGTTTCGCCCGTGGAATGCCAGGATTCCAAGAAATCAAAGGGAAAATCCTGATTTTTCCCCTGCTGTTCTCCCAGTTCCTTGGAGCCAGTCAGGGGAAACGGGGGATCCTCCATCCCAACTTTTCCTCAAATAGAACCCTCCCAGATTCCCCCAGGGAATTCCCATCCGTGGGAGGGGGGGTGGATTTGTGTTCCCCCCACCCAGGTCCAGCAGGATTCAGGGAATGCTGGGGCAGGAAACGGAGGAATTTTTGGGATTCCTTGGCTGTGTCTCCTCCCCTGCCGGGGCAGGAAGCGCCGGGATGAATTTCTGGGATGATGCCGGAGTCAGGAATGTGGGGTGTGGAGAGACTCCCATTAGTGGCCTCGGCAGGCCCCGGGAATGCTGTGCCGGAAATCCGGGATGGTGACTCCTCCACCTGCCACATTCCCGCCTTGGAATCCGCCGGGAAGGCTTGGATTTAATGGGGGGGGTGACACGGGACACCCCGCCCTGGCTCGGGGGGGGTTGTTATCCCGGGAATTCGGGGGGGGTTCCCTGATGGGGACGGGAAAAGTGGGGAATGGGGGGGGATAAAGGGTGTCAGAATCCGTAGGGAATGGGGGGAAACACAGGGAAAAGCGGGAAAACATTGGGCCTGGCATGGGTGTATCCCAGGATTTGGGGGGGTGGTTCCCTGGTCCTGGAGGGACAAGGAAAGTGGGGAATGGGGGGGATAAAGGGGGAGTCAGAATCCATAGGGAAAAGCAGGAAAACATTGGCCCTGATGTGGGAGTATCCCAGGATTTGTGGGATGGTTCCCTGATTGTGGCAGGGATAGGGAAAATGGAATTGGGGTGTCAGGATCCAGAGGGAATGTGGGAGATGCAGGGAAAAGGGGGAGCTGTGGAATTGCAAGAAACCAATGGGAATGGGGAGCTGTGGGGAATTTTGGGAAACCCTCGGCCCTGACCCTGGTGGGGATGGGAAAGTGGG